TTAAGACTTGAGGAAAAAAATTTTGTTAAAAAAAGAATATTGACATAAAAACCTCGAGACTTGATTTAAAAAGAGAGTAAAAATTTATTTTATTTAGTTGTTTTTTAGGTTTTTATTTAATTTTCTTGTTCTTGTTGAAAAGTTAAACTGGATTGATGATTCGTTTACTTTTAAGRGTAAAATACTAAACAAAAGCTATTTGAAGCTTTTATTTTACATCCAAAMAGTTCAAAACCTGAAACAAAAATCTGGATTTTATTTTGAAAATCTTAAATTTAAGTTAGACTGTTCTGCTGTTTGAAATGTCAGCCGTTAAGTATCTTTACCTTTTATTTAAACATAAAAAACAGGTGTTTTTCGTGTGTCGACTTTTTAAAAAAGAGAATTTTAAACATTTTAATAATAATCCTGGATGTAAGCTTTGACCTCTGACCTTCTAGTGTGGACGTTCCTCTCAGGTTGGAGGTAAAACATGTTGGTTTGTTTCTTTGCTGATTCTGGGCTGTTGGATGGAAAAAAAAGGCTTGTTTTCTGTTTAACAGGAGAAGTTGTTTGTTTTTATGAGGGGGCGGGGTCTTACCATCTGGAGAGGTAGAACTCGTAGAGCCGGATCGGACACTGCAGAGGGTTTGACACGTTTTCCATCAGCTCCAGGTCTCCGCTGGTTTCCGCCTGTCGCTTCCTGACCCGCTCTGAAACAAACAGGAAGTCAGCAATCATCAAACGTTCTGTTGTTTTGTTTGTTACACCTGTACAAAGATAAACCCCGCCCCCCATCACCTGTATGCTCCAAGCCACCCCTCAGGTACAGCAGGTAGGTGACCTTCCCGGCCCGGCTGCAGGGTTTGGAGGTCTGCGTGAAGCTGGAGAAGGTCAGGCTCCGGTGCTGCTCCGCCGTGCTCAGGTGGAAGTTCTTGGTGCAGAAGAAGAGCAGCGTGTTGATCAGCACGATGGGTGAGTACACGCCCAGCTGCTTGCACTCCCACAGGTAGGACTCCTCCACCTGCGAGGGGACCACACCACCTGCGGGGAGAAGAAGGATCACTCAGAGCGTCGTTCGACTTCAGCGGAATCTGAACCTGAAAAAGCGGGCGACGGTACCGCCGGGCAGCAGCTTGGGCTTCCAGAGCCGCAGCGTGGAGCTGATCTCTCTGGAGAACTGGCTGTAGAGCTCATCTGTGAAGATGTTTTCTATCCGGCCCTTCTCGAACAGATACTGATCAGAAAGAAAACAGAACCGAGTCGTTACGCTCTGAGGACCATAAAGAAGAAACTTTTATTTATTTTATTAATTTGTGCACCTCCTGTATTCCCAGACACAGGTAGAAGATGCTGTCGGGGCCGTAGGCGTCGCCGTTCGGCCGTCGAACCTCTCTGACGAAGCGAGACAGAGCGACGCTCAGCTCCGCCGAGTCACACTGGAGGACATCCTCTTTGACGGTGGTTCCACCGGCTGCAGGAGGAAGAGGAGGAGGAGTGTAAAAACACAGCTGACGCTCAGCGGACCGAACAAAGCACGAGTTTCTGCTCACCTTTCTGAGCCTGCTGGACCCAGCTGGTCCAGGCTTTGACCCCGTACAGGTGGTTCAGTTTGGAGGCGGCTGGGGTCACGAAGACTCTGCAGTCGGTGGAACCGGTTCTCCTGCGACTCTGCAGGGAGAAACAGTCACAAAAAAAACACTGTTTAACTGATTCAGGTTGTTTAAGACTAAAAAAATTAATAAAAATGTAAGCATAATTTAGTCTTGGTTACATTTTAAGTTATTATTTTTCTTTCATCTCAATAAATCTACACAATTATTTCATCTAATGGTCTAGCATTACGTGACAAAATGCATATCGCTGCCATCTGTCCGGCCAGATTTGGTCAAATGTTGTGATGCGTTTTATGCCGTGCGATTTTGTGAGCTCCATCAGGTTTTGTGTTGAGGATGACTCACTATGGCAGGCCAACATAACATAAAATCAGCTTCTTCTGACAATCTGTAATTACATTCTGGATATCTAAAAATTAGGTTTGACCAGGAAAAACTACATTTTAACTGCCCTGAAATGTAATTATATTTTAATATTTATATTCTGACTAGCCAAAAGAACAATTCAAGATATTTTCAATTACATTTAAAAAAATCAGAATCAGAATCAGGTTTATTGGCCAAGTGTGACACACACAAGGAATTTGTTTCCGGCAGTTCGTGTCTCTCTAGTATCACTGTACAGACACTTAACATATAATTCACACACATTACACTATATACAGAAAGATTTACATTATACTTCACTTAACCAAAAACTATATGACAGTAGTATTCAAAGTTAAYATTAAGTAATAATACGACAGCAGCAGTGTAGAGGTAGATGATTATAAATAAGGTGCAGTAATGCAGTAGTGTAGAATAAGAGTGGTAGATAGTTCTCTGTAGTACAGAATATATGATCTCGCTGATGGATGTCTGATGATCAGCTGTTGATGATGGTGATGGCCTGGGGGTAGAAACTGTTCTTGTGTTTGACAGTCTTAGTGGACTTGTCATCACAGATGAGTCCAAAGACTGTTTTGTCATCTGAGAACTTCAGGACTTTAACAGACCAGTCATTGGAGGTGCAGTCACTGGTGTATAGAGAGAAGAGCAGTGGAGAGAGCACACATCCCTGAGGGGCACCAATGCTGATGGTCTGTGAGGACGTGATTTTCCCCAGCTGCACCTGCTGCGTCCTGCCTATCAGGAAGCTGGTGATCCACTGACACATGGCAGGGGAAACTGTGAGTTGGGGGAGTTTGGTGGAAAGAATGTCAGGGATGAGAGTGTTAAACGCCGAGCTGAAATCAAGAAACGGGATTCTTGCATAAAGCCCCGGGTGATCGAGATGTTGCAGGATGAAATGCAGTCCCATGTCGACCATCATCCACTGACCTATTTGCCAGGTTGGCAAACTGCAGGGGGTCTAGCAGATGACCAGTGATGTCCTTCAGGTGGGTCAGGACCAGCCGTTCAAAGGACTTCATGACCACAGACGTTAAGGCGACGGGCCTGTAGTCATCCAGACCTGTGATGGAGGGCTTCTTGGGGACTGGAATGATGGTGGAGAGTTTGAAGCAGGAAGGAACTTCACACAGCTCCAGTAATCTGTTGAATATATTTGTGAAGATTGGAGCCAGTTGGTCAGCGCAGGTCTTAAGGCAGGAAGGTGAGACTAGGGCTGTGTATTGGCAAGAATTTGGCGATACGATACGTATAATAACAGAGGGGTCACGATACGATATATCCCGATATATTGCGATACTGTAAGCAAGGCAATATATTGTGATATATTGCAATTTTTTGTCCAAAAATTCTATTGAATAAAAACCTCTTACTGAAAAAAAAAAKAAAGGCTAATGTTTACTTACAATGCTTACATTGTCTCCTACAATGCTAATGCTACCCTTACTCTCTGGCGCTCAAGAGGTAGAGGAACCAAATGTCTGGCTCGCTGCTGCCGACTAGTGGTCAGAGGCTGAACTACAACATAAAAATGAACGGTTGGCAAGAAGATTGACATTTTAAACCTTAATAAAAAATCGATACAGGGCTTTAGAATATCGATACAGTATCCAGAAATGAAATATCGCAATATTTCAGTGTATCGATATTGTCTTACACCCCTAGGTGAGACACCATCTTGTCCAGGTGCTTTCTTGAGCTTTTGTTTCTGAAACAATCGRCTCACATCAGCTTCGTATATCTTGAATGCAGCTTGAGTGGTGGGGGGAGGGTGAGATAGAGGGTCCTCACCGTCTTGTTGATGAACTGTGGATAGTACTTTTTTTTGTATTTTTTGTGTACTCCAAATCAAATAAAGTATTAAACTAAACAAACTAAAGTTTCACAAATGACCTAAAATACAGGAAACAATTAAAAAAAGCTGTAATTACTGATGATGAATCAATTAYTGCTCCTGCTCCCGTTCACAAGTCGACTGTTATCAGAAAGCGGTGAAATAACGTTAGCATCAGTCCACCGCACTGCGCCCAGAAGAATCTGCTGAGGCAGCAGAAAAGCCACCGGCTCGCAGTGAATGAGGTGAGACCAAAAATAGTTTGGTGCATTCTGGAACCGACTCCCGTAGGTGTGACTCTTCAGCGCTCGAGTGCAGCTCAGACAGCGTGAAAAACTCCAGAGTTTCTGACAATGATCTCGTTGGGAAACAAAAYAAAGCGACCAAACTCAACACAATTAAAACTTTATTTTCTTTTACAAAGTCTACTGTAACACACCCACATCTCTGATATAACCATGTGTAAACATTCTCTTCTACAGTCAGAGAAGTGTTTGGTTTTAAATCACCAGTCAGGTCCAGTTGAAGGACAGCAGGTGTAACTAGAACCTGAGTAACTTTATTTTGAAGGAGGCGACAGCTGATAGAAAGTAAACTTACCTTTGGCCTTCCTCCTCATCACTTTCTTCTTCTGCCTCATGCATCAGRTCTCTGAAGGAGGTCACTCTGGGCTGACTGCTGCACACAAAAGACGTGTTGTTTCAAAATCCCATCAGCGATAAAGAAGTAAAAGGCCACAAGTGCTCAGAACGAGTGTTGTTACACGGTGCTGATGGACTCTGTGTGTCTCAGTGTAAYAATACAGATATTTTAAAAACAARCAGAATTAGAAAACACACACACGGTTTAGACATCCTACCTGGGACCCGCCGACCGAGACACTGAAGAGCCTCCCTCAGGCTGAGGAAGAGTAATGATGTCATCATCAGCTCCATCCTCAAAGAAACTGGCAAGTGCAAGCTGAGGAGGAAACACTGATGTTCAAAGGCTCAATAAAGCATTAAAACAAAAGTAAAGACAGAAAAAAAATGTAACWGATGAGACAGAATAAAATGTGAAAAACATGGAAAATATCTGTTGCAAATAAAGAGCAGGAACTATGATGCATGAGTTAGTAAATTAATATATTTATTTTAAAAAGTTAATTTAGTACTACTGTTATGCTCCAGTTTTTAATACTCTAAAATGACAATATTAGATGTAAACTCTAATTCTACAACTATTTTATAAACTTTATTTTCTAATCTATAAGAATAAATGGTACAGTGGTTCCTAAAGTTGCGGTCAGGAGGGTCATAAACCCCAGGTTTAGGGTCTTAAATTTATCCTCTCTGACCTGGTTCTGTTCAAAGCCAAACTCAAGACCTAKTTATTWAAAAGAGCATTTGATGTTTAACTTTTAGTATTTCAGATTTCTTTTTACCCTCTTTTATTGTGGTTGTGTTTTTAACTTGTACTGATTTTATTGTGACCTGTTTTTAATTGTTTTTTAATCTTGTGAAGAACTTCGGCCAATGGGTCAAAGGCATTGTTGGAAGGTGCTATWTAAATAAAGTTATTATTATTATTATCTGCAGAAATCAAAACTAAAATTTATTTCCTACTAGCACGTGTTTTAACTAGATTTGTTACAAACTATAACAACAGTCATAAATGGGGGGAAAAGTAGACTGACTTGTCATTAAAACATCTTTTTTGTTATTATTTTAGGCAACATTTATGTTGTACAACCAATGATATTTGGGTTCACAAGACTCTGACACTGATATTTGGGGGACCAGAAACTAAAAAGTTGTTTATATAGAATATTAACTAAAGTAAATTCATCATGCTTTAACAAAAAACCTGTGTTCTTCTACTAAACTCCTCTTTTCATTAGATAATTTCTGACCCTGAGGTTTGTTTATTCTGCAAACACCAACAAGTAATAATTATTATCCACAATTTAGCTTCACTGGATTAGCTAAAGCAGCTAAATAACACTAAACTCGATTCACTTTCATTTTCKGTTCATGTCAACCTTCAAATAGTTGTCTGGGGAAAAATGYCTGTTTTCARCTTTCTTTTAACATGTTTTACAGCGTCATACTTAAACCTACTTGAAAGGCTTAACGTTAGCAGCATTGTTTTCCTGCGTCAATTAACATTATTGTAGCGTTAGWGAGCTAATGCTAGTTAGCTACCGAGGCTAACTGGTCATCGATGTCACGACAAACCCGAGGAAACTTAGTAAAAAAAAMAAAAAAACAGCAAGTTAAGGAGGCGAACGCTGTTCATGTAATCCAAATTATGTCAGCTAAATGATAGTTTGACATCCCCTCTGAGAGTGTCTGAAAGCGACCAAGTCAAAGAATGACTTGCACAAAATTGCTGGAAACACAAGCGATGATTAGCCGGCGAGCTACTCGTCTGCCACTCGCCCCATTTAACCGCAGCTTTCCTCGGACGGACAACCATCCGGTCCGCCGCGACGCTGCTGGAGAAACACGGACGAGGCGTACCTGGAGGTTCCAGCCGGCGGACTCCARGAAAAACCGGGCCCTCTCCTCCTCCACACCGGTAACCGCGACGAACTCCCTCACTGACTCCTCTTGACTCGCCATTTTGATTTAGCTCCTTCAACGAGTCCGTCCGTTTCCACCTGAGGAAACAAGCAACAGTTTGATGGTTCCTATCTGGTTTCCGAAACAAGACCTGTGACGATACAACAAAAAACACTCTGACTCTAAAACAAAAATAAATTAAAATTAATCATAAAAAGCACATTTTACCACACTTTGATTTTTAGATTTTATAAAAAATGTGCCCTTTTAAACAACCGTAATCTTTAA